AATGCACATGAACACAACTAATAACGACACTCAATTTTGGATCATTGTAAAAGCTCCCCAACGTTGAAGCCACAATGGGTATCCAATTAATAGATTTGATAGAGATATTAATGCAAGAAAAAACGGATCACAGAAAATGCATCAGACAGAGACAAATATCAGGTCATGTAAAGATTAATAAAGATTAGGGCGATTCATGGATCAATATAATAGGAAAGCAAAAAATACAACTAGATTTTCTTTAAAGCTCCATTTTATCTTATTTTCACTGTAATTTGGCTTTACAGCAAAATAAATGCAACTTAGGGTAGGATGAGCAAACATTAGCCACAGAACTGGATATGTATCCATCTGTATTTCTTTCATCGAAGTCTATGTACAATGACAAGTTCAAGGAAATGGATATACCTATTGCTTTGGAATATATCATCTATTATAATCTTATGACTCCAATAACAAGTAAAAACATTCATTATTTCAAAAGAAAATTTTACAAGTAAAATATGTGGGTTGTAGGATCTTTTGAGATAGCCCTCAATAGTCCATTAATCCAACACCAAAAGCCATTCACTATCCTGTGAGAAGACATGTTGTAATTGAAGGGCTGAATCGGTTCAACAAAACAAATTTTTTTATAAATGAAGAATCGTACGAGCAGGTGTGGGTCCTGTGGGACGAGTGGACGGCACACGGCAAGACGTGGCTCAACTAGGCCAAGCAATGCAATTTTTTCTCTTTCCGGGTTTTTCACAAATACACTTTGGTGTCTTTTGTAGTATTATTTTATCTACGTGTGTTGAATCTTCTTATAGATCTAACATGTTAAATACTCTCATTCAACTGTCGTAAATATTCTAGCGCGCAATAAATCTAATGATAATTTGTTATAATATAAAGATACGCCAATTGCAAACCTTAAATATATTAAATACAAATTTAAATTTTTCAAATATGATATGGACCTATGTATTAATTCTAAGGGTTGATACATATGATTTGTAGATTTAGCAAAAAGGTAGTTTGTGAGCCTTGGAGATCATACAAGAAGAACATAAAGATGTAGAAGCGGAAATATTTCAAGACTTGTTATGCTAGCTCGAGCTCAACTCGGTAACAGGCTCGACGAGTCGAGCTTATCAAGCTCGCGAGTCAAGCTCAAACACGATTTCGAGCTCGATAGCTTATCGAGCTCAAGCTCAAATAGACCTCCGCTCGACTCGCGAGCTCGTCGAGCAACTCGTGGAAAGCATTGCCGTCGGGAAAATGAAATTGCTGACTCGAGAAACGAGGATCTTGAGAGTAGGTTATGAGAGAGAGATGGAACGTGTAGAAAAAAGGTATGGTAAGCTTATGTGTTGGAGTTGGTAGGATGCCTCGACCAGACTGAGAAATCGAAAGAGAGTCATTGTTTCCGACTGTAATGTGATATGTACCATTGTATGATTTGGGATCGAGTAGGTTGTCGAAGTGAGGAGTGAGATGTGACGATGCTCCGGAGTCAAGATACCATTCTGTGTAAGGTAGGGTAGCTGCTACTAACGTAGTTGGATTTTGAGGTATGTAGTTTGGATTCATTCGACGCCAACCAGTAGAAGTTGAGTGACCTCGTTTGCCGCATATTTGACAGGTGATCAGAGAGGAGTTTGGGCATTTTGATGGTTGGGAGGATGTGGAGCACTATATGGTAGGTTGATTGTGACCTTTGCCTCTGTATCCTCCTCCACTAAAAACGTAGAAAGCGGGTTGAGAGTATCGTGGTGGATTCTACTGAGATGTTGATTTCTTTGATAATTAGTAGAGAGTAGATGATGTGATACGTTCAAGAATTGCACATGAAATTCATTAAGAATCACAAAGTATACCAGTATAAGATTAGAGTATCGTAGGTTAAGGTTCAAGAATTTTCCGTTGTCAAAATGTTATGATAAGCAATTACAAACTAGTTGTTTAAGCACAATTAATGATAGATCTCCAAAAGTATCACAATAAAGTAAATGCGGAAACTAATAGAATCCAATGGCTAATGTCTAGAAAGTTCACAACGAGTTACCTTGCTCACTCACACTCAAGTAGGGCTTAGCGGGAGAAGGTATTTAGCAAACTCAACGATGCCACTAAGACGGTAGCAACACCAATGGCCTTGATCCACGGAGAGGTTGACGGCGATGAGGATGGCGTGAATGCTCAAATATCGATGCTCCAATCGTAGTTTGAAAATCGTTGGTCGATGATGCTCACAAGAATCGGGACGACTCGCTCCAAATATTCTTCAACGGTGGTCTCGCCTTCAAATTCCACGTCAAAGCACGGAGATCTTAGGATGTTGATGCTTCCGTCGGCGTTGAATACAAGAACCCACTCAAGTTCGGGATCCGCCATTCAACATCGAAGTGAGGGTTGAAGGGTGTCGTCTTCTTCTTCTCTTGCTTCAAATTCCCAAGGGAGGGAGTGGAGAGAGGATCGGCCAAAGTAGGGAAGGAAGGGGGCGGGTGGACAGGATGAGGAAATTTGTGTTAGGAGGGGAAGAGAAGAGTTACACAAATCTGAAATTAACTTCAGAATTTGAGTAATTTGAAGGGAGCAAATTTGAAATTGATTTCAAATCACCAATAGAATTAAGGGGCAATTAATGGGCATTAGTGTGGCCCATTAAAGGAGAGGCCGGCGGGCTCTAGAGAGAGAGGGAGAGAGTGATTTCAAAACCAGGTTTTGAATGAAAATATGGGGGGAATTAATTTGAAATTAATTTCCAATTAGTGGGTAATCAATGCCTTAATTGGTGCATTGAATGGGGCTTCACCTAGGGTGAGGCCGGTGGCTTCATGGGGGGAAAATTGGTGTGGGAGCAATTGATTAACTTCCAAATTAGCACAGGAGTAATTAAGAGGGATTAGGATGAAATCCGTTTGAATTTGAATTTCATCATGAAAACGGATTTAAAACTTTCCTAATTTGGAAATTCCAAAATTGGAAAGTTTTTTTTTTTTTTTTAAATTCAAATTTTGAAATTTCAAAATTGGGAGTCGTGGGGAATGGGGGATGAGGCCAACGGTTGAGGTTTACCGACGGATGGTGGAAGGTGGGGTGGCCGGAGGCAAAGAGGGGCCTAGGGCCGGGGGTTGGGACAAGGAAAGGGATCGGATGATGGGGATAGACCACGAGTCGCAGACTCTTCCGATGACTGGCGGGTATTTCTTTTCGCCCTCACCTTGGGCTCTCATTCTCCTCTCTAGCTCTCCACAAGAAGAAGAAGAAAAAGATAACCAAAACAAATTTCATTCAAAATATTCATCATTAGTTCCAATACAACTAGAATGACCTATATATAGGTCACATCATAAAAGAAAAATACAAAGACTAAATTGCCCTCGGGGCTATAATCATGACTCAACTCATACTAAGGGTACAATAGGAAACTCCAAGAAATAAAAGAAAAAATGCATAAATATCTAGAAATATAAACTCTGAATCGTAGCCGTCGATCTGCGCTGTCTTCGGCGATACACATGCTTGAACCTCTGATCGATGTCCACATTAGTAGAGATATTCTAGGCTTATGGGAGTGAGCTTAGTTCGGATGGATGTTTTGAAAGCTTGATATTAAGGTGGTAAACCATTCAAGGTGTAGAGGATAATATCGTATGGATTGTAGGAGCAAACGGCCGCAATGTTGTCTACCAGTGTTTTGATGTCCGTGAGATATTCAAACATCGACAGAGTTGTCATAGAGATGTTATGAAGTTGGTTCTTGAGCTGTAATACTTTGGATTTGTTGGATGCTTGCAACAGACATTCCACACTGAGCCAAATTTCTCGGCTTGACTCGAGATGAAGAACGTATGGGAGGATGATTGCTGTGATGGTGAAGCAGAGGGGGCAGCAAGAATTTGGTCGATCAGTAGCCAATGGTTGTATGTTGGGTTGTTTTCGGAAAGACCAGAGGTGCCAATATGCAAGCGAGTGGGAGGTGTGAGAGTTCCATCCAGGTATTGAACAAACCCGTTTGCACTAAAGAGCTTTAGGATTTGGATATGCCATGCAAGGCAGTTGTCATTGGAGAGTTGAGTTGGGACAATGTGCCTGATATTAGAGATTACAAATTTGAGTGAGGAGGGTATTTGAGGTTCAATGTTTGGGAATTCGGTGACTGGATTGCCTAGGTTGCAGACCGATCCATGCATAGAGGGATGTTGTTAGGCTAGAAGGGGCTCTGATACCATAAAGAAGGATGACAACATGAGTAAGAGTGAAAGCTGAGAGTAGAAAATTTATGGAAAGAAGATAAAGCTGAGCCAATGTTTTGCTTTCCCTGAAGGATATTTCATTGCATGTTCTACTTCTATTACACTTACTGTGACAAGTATATATAAGTGAAAAAGCTGCCTAAATATATGTGATAACAGAGAAGATGGTTGTGCTTTACACATGCAAGGTAGAGATAGACTACTATATTTTGAACTAGGGGTGTTGATTTAATTTCCAGAAGGTTGCTGCTCCACTTCTTCTGAAACTGCAGATGCCGTTATTAATCTCCATAGCAAAATTGACTCCTACCCTAATCAATCCTAAGGAATGAAGCCTTGTCTCTTGGCAAGTTCAGTCTAATGGTTTAATTGTGTTGACTCCTAACCAACTAAATTGACTTAAACTTGGCCCGAGTGGTTTTGAGCATACCAGAAAAATGAACCTAAGAATAGAAAAGATAAAGTTAATCGAGATTGAATATATGCCTCTTAGCATACATTACAATATGTTTGGAAAAAGGAAGGACCTAAAAACTGTATACATCTATCAGTTCACAATAGTTCAGAAAAATATAATGAAGTTTGATGGGCTAATGAAACGATAACAACAAGCATCAAAGTCACCTTCTCGAAGCTTAGCATACCGTAACAATAACATCATAGTGGAGAGACTTCAATATTACTGCTTTCAAAAACTCCATCACTTACATAGTGGACTGTCACACCTCATACAGGGAATGTACTGAAATACAAACACAAACACGAAGAAGGTAATCTATCTCACGGAACAATCTTGTAACCCTTCATCTTATCGATCCACGAAATCAAGGAATTGCGTGTATTGCGAAACCCCAAAAACCCATGCTCCTTGCTCTTGTTCATGGTATCCAAGTGTTCCTCGTTATTCAGCATAATGTCAACGAACCACCAGTTACCCACTTCCTCCAGATTTGTCGGAACAAGATGATTCTCTTGAACAATCTTTTCCCAGAGTTCTTCCTTCCCCTTCATCGCCGCCTCCAACTTAAACCTTTCCACCTCTCCAATATACCCCACAGCCTCCAACTCAAACTGCTCTGCAAGAGTCGTCCACAAATGCTTCCACTTGAACACGTCCCCATTGCTGCAGTTAAACGCTTCATTTTTTGCATACGGATCCACAGCCGCCCAGATATGCTGCTCAGCGATCAGATCGGCGTCGGAAGCATCGCTGAAACCTTCCCAAGCGATACGACTCCCGGGCCACCGCAGCGGCTCGCCCTCGCGCTTGCATATGGTAGCGTAGACGCAAAGCGTACCAACGATGTTCATGAGACTGGTGGGTGCAAATCCAAAGATAGCGGTGGGACGATGAACAGACCAAGTGACAGCGCCATCGCGGCTGCGAAGGGAATCAAATAGGATGTCCTCTTGCGTGTAGTAGAAGTTGGGAGCAGGGAGACGAGGGAGATCCTCGTGAAATGGGGGATCGTGCGCTTTGACCTTGCCCAAAGAATCGAAGCTGCCGATGTAGTGCTTGCGACCAGTTTGAAGGCAAACATGTTGGAGATTGGGGGCAGAGGGAACAACGACATCCAGGACGTTGCGGAGCATGGCGGTGTTTGCGGCGATGTTCTCGGTCTCGGATTCACGATTGGCCCAGGCGACGTAGAAGAGGTGGGTGACGTCCGTGAGGGGAGAGAGTTTAGTTAGGGCATCGGCGGGGTCAGAGATGTCGCATAGGACGGTCTCCACGGCAAAGCCATCGGAGGGGGGAGGAAGCAAGGAGGAGCGGGGGCGGCGGGAGACGGCGTAGACCTTCCAGGGGCCACCAGGGGTGTCGGGAAGGGGTAGAATCTCGACGAGGCTCATGCCGACGATGCCAGTGGCACCGATCACGAGGCCGACGCTAGGATATTTACCGGCCGCAGCGTTAAAGTCGTCGTCGAGCTTCTTCTTGACGGCGCCAATCGCACCGGACCACCACCAGCTCATTGTCGTCGGCGATGCAGAGATCTAGATCGGAGATGAGAATTTATTATTTCTGATGGCTGATGTCGTGCGCGGTTGCATTCGTTGTGTTAGCCCCTTCTCTTGAAATAATAAAAATAATAATAATAATAATGTTTGGAAAATTCGTTTGGATTATTATTTTTTAAGTATATGACATATTTAATTACTACTGGCATATATTTTTACAATCATGATACAAGCCTGACTATTATATTTTAATTAATTCATCTATAAATCAAATTTTATATAAAAATTAAATAAAGACCAAAATGATTTTAGATTTTTTAAATTCTATTATAATGTTAGGGTTTAGAATGTGTATGATGGGGTAAGTGGGTCGGGATGAATTTTTTGTGAATGGTATCTTTGATCTCTTAATTTCTCTTTTTTATTTGAAGGGTTTTTTGATATTATAAATTCATATATTTGCTTAAAGTTTATTCAAATTGATTTGAATGAGTATTGTTGAAATTCTCAGTAAATATTTGTGCTTCTAGTCAATATATAAGACCAGCATAAGAGTGAGCTATCTCTTGGATGAATGAGTAGAAAGGTCTAAGGAGAAGAAAAAACTACGTAGTTGTCACACCTCAGGTTCAGAAGATGATACATCCTTACAATACGGGACGTGATGAAGAAATAAAATATTTTATTTTGTACTCACAACAAGAAAAAGTGCATAAATTAATAATATATATAATCAATAGAAATAAAATCAAATATTTATTTCAACAATAAGAATTCAAATAATAGTACACAAATAACAATATGACTACTACAAGTAACAAAAGTTTGAAAGAAATAACAACATGAATAAAACTACCCAACATGCAAAATCAAAATGCATAATAATTTGTTACAAATATAAAATACAAAATTTAGTCTACTGCGGATAAAGCTACTCTGGAGGTGACGGTCCACTAATCGCACTGGTAGGACCTACTATAAAGAGACAATAACGAGTGAGTTTGAGAAATCAAACATAGTAAGGGAGAAGAGAGGGATGTTTGGTGACTATAGAGAGGCAAGGGATGGAGAATAATCGATGCTCTAGCCTCCCTTTTACCTTAAACGGCGAGGTGAAGGTCAGGAACAGGAAAATCATGATACGAGGTAGGAAATTGTGCAATTAGCATGATTGGAGAGAGAGTCATGAGAGAGAGAGAGATAGAGAGAGAGAGAGAGATAGAGAGAGAGAGAGAGAGGTCAAAGGTGGTTGCTCATGCGATTCAATTCTGCTTGCGTGCGAAAGGGGGCGAGCTTGGAGGTTCACTTGGTTGGTGTTTGTGATGTAGTAGATCGTCGGAAGATGATACCTGCAAGAAGGATTTTAGGATTCCTAATCCAGAGAAGAAGAAGAAGAGAGCTTCACAAGCTTCAAAGGGATGTATATATCATTAAATGCCTTTCTTCTTCTACAAGACCTCCTACTTATGAGAGCAAAAGAGTATTCTAGAACAAAATGGATAAAGTACTCCTAAGGACTATCCTAGCTTAAAATGCACCGCATCATTCTCCCCTAGCGTAAAAAGGCTCGACTCCGTCGAGACGCATTATTGAAAAAGAGATTGTTGCAGAAAACAGATTCCCGGATCGAAGATTTTGTTCTCAATATTTCCAAAATTAGCAACTTTTCTCTCCATTGAAGCCTCGGGTATATCAGACGCAAACTTTGCCATATTGCAATTTAAATGTTGCCCAGTAGCACTGAGCAGAGCCCCCCATGCTGCTGAATGGGGGCCATCCGGACTGGAGTTGATCAAGTTCAATGCCTCTTGCAGGAGATCAGCATGGCCAAACAGATCAACCATGCAGGTGTAGTGATCAGGGCCCGGTTCAATGCCATGAACAGACCTCATAGAATTGAAGTAATGATTCCCTTCTTCAACTTTGGTACAATAGCCATATATGAGAGAACTGATAGTGAGGCCATCTGGTTCGAAGGAGCACCCAGCCAAATCTTTGAATAATTTTATGCCTTCCTCTAAAAGACCAAATATGCAATATCCGTTTATGAGGGAGTTGAGAATGCGTATATTAGGAGAGATGCCAATAATAGCCATTCTTCCAAGCAAATGCTTTGCATCTTGAAGGAACCCTTCTCTAGATAGAGCATCTATAAGAGTAGCATAAGTAACAACGGTAGGAAATAAACCATTACACTCCAGAGAATCAAATACTCTGAATGCCTCAACCAAACATCCTTCACGACACAGACCATGCATCACTGAGTTGTAGGTAGCAATATTTGGAGTGATGCCCATCTTTCTCATGTTTGAGCAAAGATATAAAGCCTTCTCAAGAGATCCTACCTTACAAAATCCATCCACAAGGATAGAATATACAACTTCATCTGCAGAAGCAGTGCTTTCTTCTGCTTCCAAGAGAAAATCAAGTGCTTCTTGAACTCTGCCCTTTTCCTTAAGAGTGTTGACAACTACTGTCAGAACACCAAGAGAAATATTTCTTTTACTCAAACCAGCTAAAAAGTGAATTGCTTCTTCCACCTTCTTTTTGCAAAGGTAGAGACAGATAATGTTTACCATCCTAGGCTCAAAAACTCTGCATGCCTTTATGACGTCACAGAAAATCATCTCAACAATCAAACCATTTCTACTATTTATGAGGCTCTTAAGGAGAATATAGTATGACTTACTCCAAACTGTCAAACCTTTCAATCTCATCAAGATGTAAACTTCCAATGCAGCTGGGAAACACTCCCTCTTGCATAAGAAGGAAACAGAATCATTGCATATGGAAGTCAGTATTTCAGGTGGCATCCTCCAGTATACTTCTTCAGCCTGTAAAAGCATTCCTCCCCTAGAAAAACCAGTGATAATCATTCTATGTAATTTGAAAAGTTTCACTAGTGTAGTTTGAGATACAAGAGGTTGATTCGTCCAACAAGTTAGGATGATCAGATTACAATGAGTTTCTTCTGTATTGAAATTCAGTTACAAAGTCGAGCAGAGTTTCGGCGTCACTAAGGGAACTGGGCAGAACTCAGATGTCGTTCGGAAGTCGTATTGAGTTTCGGTGTCGAGTAAGATCCTGGCGTCACTCGGGCGTCCGGTGGGAATCTGGCGTCGTTCTAACAACGGGAAGAACTCCGGCGATGATCGAGGAGGAGTTATTCTCTCATATCCTTCTCTTCTCTTCTTCTTGCTTGGGGTACCCTCTTATGAGAAATGAGGGGTCTATTTATATTTTTTCTAGAGTGGCATAGCCCGTAAATAGGTGTGAAATCATGGGCAAATAGGGAGTGGCCGAATGGACGACTGATATTGAATCCTTCGAACGTTCACAGTTCGTTGGACATTTGAAGGCCTTAGTGATGTCGGAATTCAGCGATCTAGGGCTCGTTGGATTCGTCTCGTCGAGTCGTTCGATTCGACTATAAGCTCGTTAAAATCGGAGACTATTTGGTGACTCAAATTGTAGTACGAGCTTTCCAACAGCACTTCGGGCGCTTGATTTGGGCTCATTTGGGCTCGGATTGAGTTGAATTTGGTGTCGTTGGGTCTGTATTTCCGAGACGTTCAGTTTGATTATAAGCTTGCTGAAATCGGAGTTCAAATGCTGCCATATTTAATTTTTGAAGTTTCCGGTTCGGTTTTGCCTCGAGATTCGTGCTTGATCAAAACAATTTTTAGAGAATATATCATAAGTTAAAGAGACTACGCAGTCATCCGAAATGAAGTATTGTTAGGATAGTTTTTTGGCACTAGCCTATCCATAAGTTACCGCTCACCTTAATAGAACTCGCTACGTACAAGCTCATTGGTCAATATCACTTGAACCCGTTATGTGAATTCTATTTACTCTTGTTGCTATTAGGACCTTTGATGCCTTCTCTTACTATTTGGACCTATACGTATTCTTGCTTGCAAGCTCCATCAAATATGGAAGTGATTGGGCTCATGAGGGGTAAGGCTTAGGTTTCGTTTGGAACGGCTTTCTTAATGTTGTTAAAAGTAACTTTCTAGTACAAAATTAAAATTTTGATGCTAAAAAATTGTTTTAATAAGCCATTAGAAAGAAGTCCCAACCGAAGCATTAATGGTGACCAATAAGGTTGACTACTAACGAAGAATAATTAATAGAAGTGGCGGCACAGTGACGGGGTGATGGGTATCCAGAAAGGAGTTATTTTTTGTTTTATTTGAATATTAAAAATACTACATGTGTAAGTAATAAATTTAATAGTAAATGTATAAATCTTAATATTTTCATTATTTATGTTTTATATTGAAAAAGTGATTTTTACATATATAACACCTAAAACTGTTGAAAATACATATTTAACACCTAAACTATTCTATTTACTAATATAACACCTAAAACACTTATTTTAAATATATTATAGTACTCCGTCTTCAGCCTGTTCGCACCGTATGTCCGTTTTGGTCGTTCTTATCAGGTAATCTCTTATTATCCCTCTTCTCAGTTCGAAGCCGTGACTTCTCGAATGATTTCGCCCTGTTCAAATGTTTCACATGCCAAGTATTTCTTAGGTCGACAATGTATGACTTTTCGGTTTTTCTTCTTCTTTCAAGTTATTTTTGTAACAGTTTAACCTCAGTTTTTACTTTTTATTGTTGATGTTTATCTTCTCTATTAGTTGTTTAGGGTTTACTTCTCATATCTTAATTTACTATGTTGTGTTTGTAAATTTAGAGATGCACAATAGGTTTTTGATGAAATACCAATGCATTATCTTTTGATAGAATATGAAATGGTGTATTTTATGAATGAATGAAATGCCAAGGCAATTGTTTACTTCTCATGTCTTCATTCCAACAAGAGCAATTTTTTTTTGAGGTGTCTTTTATGAAGGCAATCTAAAATGAGTTTGACTCGACAACGCCAATAAAAACCCAAGTAATCAAATATATTGTCATTGCTACTTACAATTTACAATATATACATCTTACCAATCAAGTAGTAGAGGAAGAAAATTCTACAGATGCTCCCGAAATATATTAGAAGATGATTGCGGTTATTTCGATAGTGTGATGAACTTAATGAATTGTCGTATGATAGTAATTACCGAAGTTCAAATGTTGTAGAAAGCAACACAATGCATGTTGTTTCAGTTAGAGCCGAACTGTTATAAATAAAAATCTTGTTGGTGATAGCGATTATTCTAAATTTTATTGTAGAGTTCATTGTAAGTAAATATTGCTGTGAGTAAATGTCACTTTGAATCAATATAATTTTTACTCAATCAATGTAAGCATGAGTAAATGTAATTTTTTTGTCAATCAATGTAACACTGAGTCAATGTAACTTTGATTTTTTGTTGTGTGAGTCAATGTAATTTTTAGTTAATCAATATATTTGGGTTTCTATATTACCATTTAGCAAAAGCATTCTATGTTATGAATTGCAGGCATGTTGCCAATTTCAAGTTTTAGTTAGCAAAAGCATTCTATGTTGTTTCAGTTGGCAAAATTATTCTATGTTCTATATAGAATTTGTGTCAACTGTCAACAAAGGCTTTCCTATTTGTGATTTGCTATCAAGTGACTTGGTCACTTCTATGGCAAAAAATCACAAATATGTTGGAATAGGATTAGCAATCCCACTTAAAAGGGTTCAATTTGCAGTTGATAATATCAATATCAAATATGAAAAAGTGGAATCTTCCTCCACCTCATAACACTAGCAGTACTCAAATTTATTGTAACTTCAACTCATATAAAGTTTTTGACTAAGAAGTAAAACAAAATGCAATATTTAAGAAGTACTATTTAAGACAATTTAATCAGGACCAGAATTATAATCAACCCGCCGAATGGGTAATTTTGAACATACATAAGTATGAATATCTTCTCACTCAAAGTTCATTGGTTCATTGCAAGTACTTCTATGATAACCAAAGAATTGCATCGACCACATAAATGTGTTGACTGTAACTTTCTAACTTCGAATGAATTTCCATCTAAACATAATGAAGCACATATTCTCCATGGACATCCACGGTATCTGTATGTAGCAATAACTATTGATTTGTAAGTAGCTTTAATCTTTATTGCAAAGTTTTCTAAAATTGCTTTGGAACAAATAGCTTATTTAAAACATAATGAATCCTCATATTGCGAACCAACACATACAATCTGTATTTATTCAACCTGGGCCGCAAAAGAACCATCACACAAACCATCTACAATTATGTCATTGTTCACTCTACTGTTTACACTTAAATCTTGCATATCGTCATATTGAATGTCATCTGCATGACCCATATCTTCTTCTGGATCTTTCACTGCAGCCACCACCTCCATTCTATTGCCATCATAGCAACCTAAAAGCATGTCCATTACATATGTATCACTCCTAATTGACATATAAATTTTAGGCGACGTGCCATTAAAATGATAGTGTAAATCGTATGTATGACCCATAAGTCACCGACAGAATGCTTTAGTTTGTTCTTTGAATAATAACAAATTGATTTGACCTCTCTTAAACTTTAAAGTTTTCTGCTTCCTCTAACATATTTCATCTTTATTTACCCCAGTCCAATATCCTCCATATTTAAAGATAATAGAGCACACATTGTTGCAGTTCATAATAGCAAGTACAATTTTAGCGTTAGAGGTAATGAACGAAACAGAGATTATATTGGGATTAAACTGACTTAAACTATATGCTTTACCCAGTATTATGTTATTAAATAACACCACTTTGAAATCATGTAGTATAAGTTTTCCTAATCAGTTGTTATCATGAATTATTCACGTCATGGTACAAAAGCTGGAGGGGAAGTTTGGGAAAATCCAAATTTCTACTATGCTTGGCATATGCTTCATAAATGTTGAAACTTTGCATAAGCTAACATTCATGGTGGATTGTGTTGTTCTTAACTAATGTTGAGGGACAAAGATGGAAAGCTTTAAATATAAGGTAAACAATGAAACATAACATTGTATAGAATAAAGCCAAATCCAAGGTAATCAACGAAACATTGGATTGAATTTTCCTGTGCATTTTCTAATGCAAAGGGTTAAGAAAATACCTAAAACCAATGGGAGCGATTCCGCGATGGCGGTGTTGCGAAAGGAAGAAGACTAGCCACATGGGAGTCTCAAAATGGAGAAGAGGAGCAGTGTGGGAATTCGCATTCGGACGATACAACTCAATTGGGATATCTTCGAGCGGCCTAGAGAAGACGAATGTGCGAGAGTGAGCAACTCCAGTATCAACGAAGAAGAGAGGAGATTTCCACGCTCTTTCGGGTTTGCCTTTGACAGGAGGGAACATAGTGTTTTTTTTTTTAATGAGGTTAAGAATTTTGAGATGACATAATAGTAAATAAATAACTTTAGATGTTAAATAAGTAAATGTTGTAATTTTAAATGTTTGGTATGCAAAAAATAAAAATATATAAATAAATAAAAAAATCCGTGTTTGTCCCCTTTCTGATTTCTGTGACCTTGCCCTAGATACTGCTCAACGTTTCCTGAGGTGTCCACTCATTTGCCGACTGCCTGGAAGCGACTACAGTGATTTTTTTGGCCGCTGGCCATCGCTTGGAGTCCGCCTCATTCACTGAGGCTCTCACGGTCGACCAAGCTCTTAGTCAAACCGGTAATGCGTTCTCCCTTTAGCCAATCGACAGCCTCCAGTTTCCTCCTCCTCGCTTTCTTCTATTTATTCCACTTCTGTAGATCCACTTCTTGTGCCTCTGTCCATGGACTTATGGACAATGATGTTTATTTCAGCCCAGTTGGGATTTTTCTAGGACATAGACAAGCAAATTCTGCCAGGAATTGGACCTGTTTGGGGATTTTATGAATAGATTGGCATTTGGCTAAACGAATTTGCTGGAAAGATTCAAATTTGAGTTGTTAGCATTTTTTTAGGGTATTATGTTTTCAGCGCCTGCTCGTTTACGTACCGTTTTGCAAATTGGTGGAATGAGGATCTATCTTGGCAGCCATTGGTATTTCTGATGCGACACACAAAATCAATTAAGTAAAGAGTGAGCAGGATCCATCTTGATAGCCATTGGTATTTCTGATACCCTTTCGAGATCATGACCATGAATCTGCATAGTTGTATAAAGTTAAAATGGGGTTGTAGAGGTTGCGTAGAGATGTTGAATATGAATCAGGTGACACTGCTAGCTACTGAATAAGTGGTGAAGCTGCATGAATAATATTTTTTACTTTGGCAAGTGAGGATATAATGTTGGTATTGAGGGAAGCAGTGGGTTTCTTCTCATGCCACCATGTTGGGTATATTGTCCCCACAATTATGAAGTTGATTACTCTGGTATTTTGTTATCCCATACACAATTACTCAAGTAAAAGGAGATCAGAGACATTTTCTTTTGCCTAGCGTAATGAAACAATAGAAACACTTTTTCTTGGAAAAAATTGTAAAGATAAATTGACGTCGACTAGTGTAATCAAACAACATTCACTATTTGCAAAAAGAATAGTACAAGAGTGATTCATCTCTAAGCTATTGGAGTGATTTTAATTCAAGATTTTTACAAAAAATTAATAAAGGAAATGTAGATGGCACAATAGTTGTTAATATTGTTGATGTATGAAATATCAGGGTTACAATGTAACTAGAAGTAATTGTAGTATAATACTAGATGAAGATGGTTGTGGCTAAGGTTTAAGTTGAGATGGCTTTGACATGTCTTGTTGGAAATGATTGTGTTGAAGGCCTTATGGGGGAAATTTTGCTTGGAGGTCTTATTTGGGATGGTTGCGGTACATTTGATGTTGTAGAGTAGATCCTAATATGATGATGTTCGCAATGTAAGTGAGGTTACAATGCAAGTCTCACTTGTTGTGATGCAAGGCTTGAGGGGGATGAATATGATGCAAGTAATTTTGTTGTGAAAGTCTTGATAAATAACCTATGATATAAGTGAGGTTGTGGTATTGATCTTAGGGTGCTAGTTGAAATACAATCAATGCTACATTGTAATTCTTGATGTGATGTTGACCACAAAGTAAATGAGGTTGTAATGTATGAAGTGGGATAAATGACTATGATGCAAACAAATTCGCAACATTATTCTTGATACAACAATGATTAGATCGAAGGGGATTATGCAAGTGAGGTTGTTGTGCAAGTCTTGATGTGATGATGACTACTAAGCAAGTAATGTTGCAGTGTGGATCTTGTAGGAGATGATTGTCGAGAAAGTGAAGTCATAGATTGCACCATCTCATGATAAAAAAACAGATGAACGATGCTCCAGACTAATTCGGGCGGTCATTGGTGGTCTAATGATAATCACCACTGACTACATCTTTGATTAATGAACTAAATATAAGACATCTTGATATCATGAGTCTAATGGAGATGATAAATTAAAGTTTTTATAATCAAATTGCATGAATAATTTCAAGAAGTTTCATCGATTAGATTTAAGGTAGTTGGAATGTTTCTCTTTAGGGGAAAACATTTGCCAAAAAAATCCCTTGTTAAACGAAGGTATGGGGAGGTTGTAATGGCTTTGATAGGTAAAAAAATTTATAACCAATTTGAAAAATAATGAGTGTGTACTGACAAAATCTGACAACGAAAATGCATTGTTCACAATGACATGTATTTGGGGGCTTGTTCTAATGGCCCCTTGGGCAACTTCAAGGGTTGCGATTAATGCAACCGAAGGCTTTGATATCAAATTGATGTAAATTTAACTAAGTTCTTAAATCAAGTAGGAGAACACTAGGTATGCAAATAAAACACTTGTTTTCAATAACACATAAACAAACACCAAATGATGCAAACTTAGCATGAAACACAAATGGGAAAATGGTTAGGAAGTCGCAAGAAAGTTAAAATAAAAAATAAAAAAAACAAAACTCATAAAATATACTACCACGAATGATCACCTCACATGCAAACACAAAGTAGGGAAGATGCTCAAAGAAAAGGACAAAACAATGATCCAACATTGAAATTATGAACCAACACAAGACTTGCTCCTCCGGCAAATACCAAAAGAACAGGGCACATCACTACTTATTACTCGTGATAGTTTAGAGAAAAAAGATACAAGTGGAAGGGGAGGGAAGAAATAGAAAGAAAACCGAGATGAAGAAGTAGCGAAGAGGTAGTAAGCTTAGAAAAAAATTCTTGGATTTAAAATGATTAACTCACAATAGTTTAGAGAAAAACGATACAGGTGGAAGGGAAACATGGAGAGAAGAAGTAGAAAGAAGACCGAGACGAAGTAATAGGGGATAGGGAGAAGACCAATTCGCAAGCTAAAAAACCCTCAGGTTTTTTAATTGATCACATTTCAAAAACTCTTCTTTGCACGAAGGAATCCAGCCCCAATTTATAAGAGAAAGAAGGGGGAATACAATTTACTAGATCATATAAATGTGCCACCAAAACAATCAATAAAAAAAAACTCAAATGAGCCCACAAGAGGAGAAGCTGAAGCATTCTGCATAGGGAGACATCAAGTGGAAAATCGAGCAGCTAACAACAGGAAATCCGAGTGGACAACAGAGAAAAAACCCTAGTATCCATCGGGAAGGAATGGGCCAAGTCCACTAAGGAAAAGAAACAACCCACAAAGAATCACCCAACCAGCCACTAAGGAGCAAGATCAACACAAGTGGAAAGACATTGGTGTGAACCAACCTGAGAGCATCGAACCCAGCATGATCATGGGTTGTTTTCCATCATAGGGCATTAAAACTATAAAATAAAATAGTGTTCCATAAAAATTAAAATACATAAAATGTAAATTCATGACTAGATCAGCGATCAAGAGAATTTTAAGTTCCTTCTCCATCATATATAGCCCTCAATTGTGCATAAAGGAGGAGAGTTGGTCCTAGTTAGGCTAGTGCTGGTCATCTTGACTTGATTTGAATCTGGCCCATCTGGGCTATGAATCATGTGATCTTAGTGTCAATGGATCGATAATGAGCTGCTCATTATGGTGATGCTTTTGTTTCCTTATGAGATCATTTGGGGATTTACTTGATTTTTTAAGAAAATTTAAACGTTAATCTCTCTTCTTTAGTTGCGTCAAGATTAATGTATTGTGCTGAAAATTGTGCTTGATCATATAAGGTTTTTTTATTTCAATAAGGGGAATCAAGCGTTTGGAGTTGAGAATTTATATTCCATTGTATGCCTGCCCACTTCATGCATAAGATGTGTCCCATATTAAAATTTAAATTGGTAGTATTCAAAGATGACCATTGGCGCATATGAGTTTGTTTTATTTTCTATTTTGTAATGCTTAGATTAGCAGTAGCTAAATATTTTACAAGTTGGAGTCACTAACGCTAATGATTGAGTAGGCACTTGAAAAGAACCTGTCATCATCATCATCATCAACATATTTGTTAGTAATATCTCTAATTGAGGTCAACTTTATGAGTGCTCCATCATCCATTCATTCTTTTTAAGTGCTTTTTGGGGTGATAAATCTATTTTGCATAAATTTTTTAGACAAAATTCTGTCATTGCTATTTTTGATTTACTTATTCTGATTTAATTCTTCCGCACGTGTGTTCAATTTTGTTTAGTTTTTTTTAATGGCGCATCATTTATCTTCCATCATACATACCAAAGCCGCAAAGTTTAGCTTCCCTCTTTTATGGACGTTGCTCTGACATTCCATTTCTCAATCTATTCTGTCTCATTTTATTACAGATTCATTTTAACATTATCATTTAAATTAAACACAACTTGGTTGTTACTAATTTTTTCTCGTCCACCTCATAGATTGGTTTAAAATAGCCAGTCTAATTGCAATTTATGAAATTCACTTCAAAATTTTCATAATAATCTCTTATTGCATGATACCTCTATTTTGAGCCCCTAATATTAATTTTTGTATAAAAGATGCTGATATTTAAACCTATCACACCTAAGTATTCCTTAATTTTCTATATTATTATTTGTATATTAACATTACAGTATATTTCTTGTTACCTAATTTTCCTAATTGTCTTGAAATTTATGTAATCATCGTGGCCATCATCATTAGCCTTATCTCATTGTTTGGAGTTGCCCTATATTTCGTCCACTCATTTCTGAATTCTGATGTGTAGTTAACATGGTCTTTAGCCCTATTCTCTATTTTTTTTATGCTTAAATTTAAGTTTTACATCTGTCAATCTATTTACTTTTCTTTCAATCTATTTATTTATTTTATTTATTGATGCATAATCTGCCCTATTCTCAAAATATCTGTGAGCCAAACTACTTTGGCTTTAGGAAACCTCATAAATGGACAAGAAGCCTGAAAAATAGTGGTTTAGAGTTGTCACCGAGTAGTTGCATGCGCCAAAGAAGTAGACGCTCTATAGAAAGGATTGTCTATTATACATCCTAAACTACATAATTTTTTTTTGACTGGTTTCTTGATAATTACACCATAAGGTAATTATATTTATATTATAAACCATATTTTTGAAAATCATACTGATCATCTCACTTAGAAAAATGATTACAGTGCTCTGATTTTTTTATATAGTGGAAAAATGATTGGCTGATCTGCTTTCCTGTTTGGATTTCCTCCTTAGCAAGCGCAAGCCACACTTATGTTCCAAGTTAATGAAAGCTTCTAGATCATTAAACAATGTTCCTTCCATCTCTCTGAACTAAATGTCAATGTTCACTCTTGATTAAATTTCATCATTATTATCGCCCATTAATACTATCATTATATTTTTGTTCATCAAATATTGATGTGGCTCAACTTTTCACCCAAGTTTTCAGTTTTCTTGATCCCAAGACATGGTGCTTACAAATTTCACTGGCCCTGGTATTGGTTTGGGTACGTATTTCAGTCAAATTATACATATTGCAAGCGTAGCACTTCTCGAATGAGGTGAATTTATGCATTGCATGTTTCTCTATAACAGGTTTTGGAATTGGTTGCGGTTTTGGAGTTGGATGGGGTTTTGGAGGCCTGTGACTTGAACTTATCTCTCTATTATTTTTGTTAGATGCAGTGTGATTTTTATAGTATGTAATTACTTAGTTATTTCCGGGTTGTGAATTTTTTTGGATAATTAGTATGTTATTAAAGTTGCATCATGTATAATACAAAATTAAATTCTGTTTAAAAATGCCTTAATGACATCATGTTGTTGTAATAATCATGCATGCAGTAACATTTCCGAATGAATAGTATTTTATGGAGGACTGCACATTTTTTATGTTAGATTTTCATTAATAAAATGAATACTTCTGAAATTGCAGGTTTTGTGTTCATGAGATACATATGTAAGAGACTACCACGTTAGTTTTTGTTTCTTTGCTTCGGTATTTTATCTTAGTGATGTGCTGAAAGGTAGAGGTAGACCTAAAAAGACTTCATTAGAAAATATTAGAAATGATCTTTCTTTATTAAATTTAAATGAGAATTTGACTTTTAACAGGACACAATGGCGAAAAAGGATTCATGTAGCCAATCCCTTGTAGTGGGACAAAGGCTTGATGTTGTTGTTGTTGTTGTTGATGATGTGCTTATGAATCATTTGACGTTATCGTGTACTTCTCCAAAGAACCATATTTCCAAGTATGAAGGCTTGTGATATGTTGATGATAATGAATTTGAAGTAATCTAGTCCTTCACCAAATAACTATATTTACTTTAGTATTTTTTTCCCTTATTAATGATACTTTGTTGATGTCATCTATTTTACACTGAATTTAAACTAGAATTAAGCTATATGATATTTCATACTTAAAGAATAAAACAATCTAGACATATTTTGAAGTTTGTGAATTCGACTAATGGATATAAATACTCTTTACAATAACAACAACATCAAGTATTTGTCCCACTACATGGGGTTGGCTACATGAATCCGTTTTCTCCATTGTGTCATGTTAAAAGTCAATTTCTCAATTAAATCTAATAAAGAAATATCATTTCTAATATTTTCTAACCAAGTCTTTTTAGTTCTATTTCTATATTTCTTAACATAAGTCAAATCTACTACCTCAACTTTCCTAACCGGGTCATCGTAAGGCCTCCATTTTATAAATACTCTTACTCCTTGAGAAAAAAAAATGCTGATGGCTTGCAATTTTCTCCCTTCAGAATCACAAATTTAGCTGTTCTATTATAAACAAATGCTGAGTTGTTATTGTTATAATGTTATATATATATTTAGAATGATAGATAGACGCCTTTTACCTTCCAAAATAGCTACAAGATAAGTTTTAGTTTTAACCATTTTTTCTAAAAATTATAATGACTTTTAGCTATTTTTTTGTTGATTCTCAGTTCTTATATGGATAGAATCTATTGGCTCTTTTTGTTGTGCTCATTTCTAATATGCTTTTGTTCTGTAGGAATGCCATTGCCTATGCTAGGTCTGGGCATAGGTAGGCGCTCCTATTCATTTAGTTATTCGCTCTTACTACGAAGGTTTTCTAAAATGACTGGACTTGCTTTCATTTGTCTTCTGAAGGTGGAGGTTGTGGAGTAGGATTTGGCCTTGGGTGGGGCTTTGGAAGTGGCTTTGGTAGCCAATATCGGAGTTCTAAAGTCATATTCGATGGCATCCAATTTGATGCCAAAGGCCAAAGTGATAAATCAACCGTTCCAGCTTCCTCAAAGGTGCTTGAGAACTGATGTGACAGCGAAAGTGCCAGGTTTTCCTGTAACATTTTGTTGGTTTGATCAACTTTCCTGTTTATCTTTTCAGTGATTAGTGTGTTACTGTGTTCTGAAGTAAGAATTTTTAAGACAATAACGAGCTATTATAACTGAATGTCAGAAAGCCTAACATTTGTTGATAATTTATAAAATGGAGTTAATTGAAGGAATTTTTCATTAGTTCTTGTTTTAAAGTCAAACAAGCTGGAAACCTGTGAGAAAACTTACGGAAATTAGTTAAAATTCTTGAAAATATATAATTTAGTTGTTTTTATTTCTAATGCTCTTGTAAAACTCTGATTTGGGTCTCCATTTGGAGCTATTATTACGTCCTTTCACCGAACACGTTCATAGACCAATAACCATGCGCCACGACACCTGAAACTTGGTATTGAGCTCTCGGTATTGCTCGGTATACATTCAGATACGTTCAGATTTGACCGGACGTAATAATTACTCCATTTGTGCCTGGTGTCATAGCCAGGCTGGAGAGCCATTCGTAAGGGACCAAAATACTACAAGGAATGCCTTAGCCTCCACACTTATTCTCTAATCCAATCCACTGTCATGGCCGAAAGTTGCACTTGGCCTCTAGTATGTCCTTTGGTAGAGGTCAAGATTGATCTTGATTGAGATGAAACATCTGTGTTCTTCATCATCACCTGATACTTTACTGCCTGCTCCTTGTTAAACATACTGCTTTCTCTGGTTTCTCGTCGCCATTTGTCAGACGTTGTGGCTGCCAAACGAAAAATTATTCTGTGCAGACATCGGACGGCGTTTGGAGATCAATCAGAACTTCCAACGTCATTTTTTGCTCGGTATTGGTGCTCGGTACCATTATGTACCATGTGACATTGCGCATTCTAATTTGTCTTTGGAGCGTCCGGTATCCGCACAGAATAATTTTTCATGAGATACTTTGATCAAATTTGAAATAATTGAGCGCTTGTTTGGTAAATATAATCAATCATGTTATATTAAATAGCAAAGTCCAAAGAAGATTTGTTTATGTGAAGCTGTGCTTTGGCCAATGCTCCAGCTAGCCTTAAAAAAAACCTTTTGCTATTTGAATCAACCAAGCATTTCTTAAACTTTTTACCTGATTGGCTTCTTACAAGTAAAATTGTGCTTGTGAGAGCTAGAATTCAAGCTTGTGAGAGCTGAATTACCACCCTAGCCGCGTCGTTGGCCCGCTATCATCAGACCACCACTAGACTGCCGTCGAACCATCGCTGCTGGTCATTGTCGTCGCCACACACTATTATTGCTCAGCCATAACCATCTATATACTTCTCATCCCAAATTGACTCCATGATATTTTTCACTAGCATCTTGTACTATTATAATCATTCTAATTTGAGAATGAGTAAATCTTTATAATTAACACTCACCTAATAAAACTATTTCAATTGAATCAAATCATGAGATTTTTTCCCTTAACAATTTTTCTATTTAAAAACTTTAACATTTTTATGCTCATTTTATTTATCTATTTATACATGAAATTTAAGAGCATATTTAAAACACAATTCTCTACTATCATAAATTTTCTTAAAAGTATTTTTTTTTTTTTTTTGAAATGCAGAATATAGTCGCCCACAGAAAAAAGCATCTTTATATTTTAGGCGAATTTAGTGAAAAAAAATAAAAAAAAAAATCTGTAACAAATCTTTTTATGGGGCTGCCGGTGAACAGGCAAGTTTGATATAAAGTCTTGACATGTGGACTAATTAAAATAAATTCACACTATCACATACACAAATCCCAAATTTAAAAGTTAAAGAGTGGCAATGATAGAATGTTAGAAGAATCAAAACAAAATAATAATAATAATAATTGCCCACCCACCCCCACTCATAATATTTTTCAGGATGTAGTACCCACCCATACCCATGCATATTAGACGTAAAAGAAATCCTGTAGAGAATTGAAAGGTAGAAGGCAATAACATAATAAATGTATTTTCATATTTCCCAAATGCCTGTAATACAAAATAAATGGTTTTATATAATGATGTAGGGGACAAGTTGTTAAAGTGCAGCACAATATGTTATATGAAGCTTGCGGTGCATTGGACTAACGTGTTAATAAGCCGCATAAGTCATCATTCTATCGGTAGAACAATTATGCCATCATCATCATCTTCATCGACGACTAAGTTAAGGCCATGGCCGTACTTGATCATGTATGCCTTCAAGTTCTCCTTGGCCTCGTCAATCTAATCAACATTGATGCCCAACCCATGCAAATGCATCTTCATGATCAGGTCGAGCATCATCGTAATGACATGGATGGGCTGGAGCACGAACTTCTCCTCGAAGATGGGCTGGATGATCTCCTTGAGGGTTTATCCACCATATTGAATACCCACCCATACCCACCCATAAGTCTATGAGCATACCCATACCCACCCATTGGGTGGGTGTGGGTATGGGTGCTCAATGCAGGGCTCTGATTTTTAAGGATACACAAAGATGAATATCATTTTCATGTTACAAAACTTCAAGCCGAATAATTTGCCAGTAAGCCATATAAAAATTCAGCTCAAGCACATAACACAGCGGTGATAACATGATAAAATCATTGCTTCGTCATTCAGTAGAATTCTCCAAACACACACCCAAAAAAAAAAAACTCTGCAAACTATTTAGAACTGAGTTTTTATTTTTATTTTTGAACAATAGCAACACTTTACAAAAATTAAAAATAAAAACTAACCAGGGAATGCAAAATGTAAAAAGTGAAAGAAGACAGGAAAGACAGGATGCAATTATTGCTTACACATATCGTCATCAGAGGATACATAATTGAAGAATTTTACAAATAATCAAATCACACACTAATCAACTGCAAGAGAATCATCATCAAAGTTTTGTGATTCAAATACAGATGTCAAGCTTCAATATCATACCTAATGTGCCTGAGAAGAACAGGAATGACAATTTCAGGAGAGCTAAGCTGTGGAAGATGGCCTTCTGATGGCATTACCTCAACAATGGACTCACCTGCAATGTTCCTGTGCAGGTACTCAGACACCACTACAGGAACAGCAAGATCTTTGGTGCTCTGAACAATGTGGCAAGGAACAGTCACAAGGCCAAGAATGTTTCTCAAGTCGCTCTGGAATATGGTCTGTGCAACGCTTAAAGCGATGTCAGGGCGGACATTGAAGAGAGTCCGGCTAAACTCTTGAACTGCGATGGAATCCATATCTCCACCTACAGCCAATGGAGCAAAGCCAGAAACCCAGGCTTTGTAATTAGCTCTAATGGCGTCAAATAGTTGGTCCAGGTCTTCCTGCTCAAACCCACCGTAGTAATCTGCATCATTCAGGTACCTATGGAAGAAATATCACAAATGGATTAATTAAACATGGAAATGTGACAGTAACAGTCGTATTTAATGTTAAAAAGACTCTTGTCGAGGATGTTACAGGATCTATGAGGCTTTCCTGAATTAATTGGGCTAAGATTTATGTTGATTACTATTTTGGACATCAGGTCTCTCACTATTAGCTCAATTATTTTGCTACAGTGCTTTAATGGGCTTTCCATTGAAGATTGTGCTAGAATAATTAAATATAATAATTATGCGAGATGTCGCAATAATTATTTAAGTATGTATATCTAATTATATAAACTATTAAGTAGCCTATATATTTGAATTATTGAAATTTAATTAATATTTTAATTATTTATGTTTAAATCCTACTGGTCAAGAAGAGATATTTTGATCAATCGTTTATGGACCGTTTCATCAAATAACTCCTATGAGCGGTTATTATACTAATTTGCAGGAAATAACTACCGGTCATCTCTCTCTCTCATTATGGGGGTTAGTTTGTTCCATAGAGAATTAACTCATGAAAGAAAGAAAGTGAAAAGAAAAAGAGAGAAAACCGTAGTTTCGAATTCAATGAATTCAGCATGAATCAAGGTACGTTTTCTTCCGATTAAATCTTGTGAAAATCATCTTGTTTAAGATCTTGTGGAATTAAGATTTTGGTAAATTCACATTTTCATTTTGATTTTTTTTTACATAATTATAATGCGAGTTCTTTTGCAAGAGTTAGAGAACTCATAATTGCATGTTGCGAGTTCTTGTAAGAATTTGAAAACTTTAATCTTATAGATTGGTCTGTTGATATCTGTTAATGGAGCTTGTCCTACATCAATAAGCCACAACTATGCTAACATAATCAAAAAGTGGGCAGAAACAGAACAAGAATGGAATTAGCTTGAGCTTGACAGGCCTAGGTTAGGCTACCCGAGGATGTTTGTTGAACTTGCAAAAATAAGAGCTCCATAAATATTTTCATCAACACTAAACACGTAAAAAAAACCATCTTTTTCTCTTTCATTCTCTCACCTAAACTGATCTCCAGGCCAACTTAGCACGGTTCCCCCTCATTTTCCTCATTATGATGGCCAATGGCATCAGCGTTGATGAGAGGGCCTCCATCCCCGCCATTCCGTCAAACAGCTTTCTTAATGCTTTCAAAAGCAACTTTCTAATACAAAATTTTTTGTACTAAAAAGTTACTTTAGAAAGCAGTAAGAAAGCATCACAAGCAAAGCCTTAATCTACAAACCATTTAAAATATCTTTTTTCTGTGTTCTTAATGTTTTATTTCCTTATTTTCATTTTCATCTTCATTTTCATTTTCATTCTAAACAACATATGGATTAGATTGGGACATATTTCGGGTTGGTTGAACTGAGCTGACTAGAGCTTTAAAGTTTTTAAATGGTAAAGAGAGATCTTGTTCATCTTCATTTAGAAGAAATTTGGCATATGCACATTATATGAAGCGAATTTTATATGCCATTCCCTTTCATACAATTCGATCATACAGTAACATTAGTTGCTTCTAATAGGCTATCAAGTTTTATAAAGCCTACCTTACAAAATGGATAAAAAAGTTTCTATGAAAATTCAAGCATCATACTAGCATTAAAACATTGTATATGCATTCGGTGATGGGAATTTACTTCAATTCATATCACCTGACAGCTCACCTAACAGCATCATCTAAGCCAAAATCCAACACATGCCAAACAAAAAGGACAATTTTGATGTAAACTTAGCAACTGCAAAGTGATAAATAAAAGAATTAACATGCCGCATAGTCTGGGATAAAAAAGGCTCAAACATTCGAAGATTCCTACTACTCAATTTGGATTTTGAGAAGAACATTGTGAGATTCAATTTTAAATTTTCAAGAGATTTATTTTACGTGACTTATAAGAGTTTATCTATGATCCGAGAAATTTAGGCTTCCCATAAATGTGATCCCATGATAAAGATAATATTCTCGATTAAGAACCTCAAATGCTCAATGTCATAGATTGACAGTTGAGGAGAATTAAGGAGAATGTGAGGTCAAACAAATCAAGACTCCACGGCTTTGTCATTTTGACTCAGCCTAGCAGATAAAATCTATCAAAGTTAACAAGTTTAGAACCGCAACTTCATAACCAAACTAGTAGCTGTAATTGCTTCCTATCAAGTATCCCGAGTATATCAAGAGGTAATTTGTCAAATGACACATCTTACCTAGCCTTGGAGATGTGGATACAAGGATTTCAATTGCCATAATGTGGGTGGCTAAGGATGTGTGAAAACCTAGCTCTAGGCCAAGAGAAGAGGTCCAACCAAGATCTTAGTTCAAACAAACCCTAACTACCAGTAGGATTTTAACTTTAGGGCTATGGCATAGAGGGTGGATTTAGGGCATGAATCTTCTTAAAAGTTGGAAAATTAGGGGGACATGATCAAGAAATTTTGGAGGAGATTCAATAGATTTAGAGTTGTTTAGTGGACACTAATACGAAGCCTAGGTCAAGGTACCTAGTTTGAGCTGTTTGGCTAGTCTTGATATATGTTATTCAGGGATTGGTCTTATGATGCATTTTAGAGTTACAAATACCCAAAAGGATTAAGAGGATCTATGAAGATATCAAATGAAGTTTTTTGTTGGGATCCAAAGAGTTTGGAGGGTGGCGGAAGGAGGAGAGCCACATTAGGTCAAGGTTGCCCTAGTTTTTGGTTGATCACTTGTAAGAGGTTCAAGGATTTTTTTTTTCTGACTATAGGAGGTGGGAAAACCTGTGAAAAAAGGCTAGGAATGTTGGGGAAGGAGTAGGAGAGGTTGGGTGAGAGCCTAATAAGAGATAGGGGGGTGCCTAAGCTTTCCAACAGAAAGAACCCAAAGAGGTCGGCCAGCAAGCACACAACCAAGGGGATTTCAACCACCAAACATAATACCCAAGAGATTTCAATCTCCACTTATTTTTCTCAAACATCAAAAGCTAAATTTCATTAATCAAAATAAATATTTAAGGAAATACATCAAGTCCTAAGAAAAGAAAATAAAAGAGAACAAAACTTTCAAAGCAACGAGGAAAGGGGAGTGGGACCACTCCAATATTGATTCCAATCAAAGAGCAAACACCCCCCTTACCTTCCAAATAATGATAAAGCAAATAAAGTAAGAGAAATTAATAAAATTATAATCTCCCCACATGAAATGGAAAGATTTAAAATTTAAAAATTCAAATAATAATAATTAATATTTGAATTTTAAATTTCAATCATGCATATAATCATAAAACTTTTCAAATTTGTACTTTCTCAAATTTTTTGTTTCGGATGAATCTCTCTTAGCCCTTGATCTCAATCCTTTGGTGAGGCCAACATGGCCCTTGATCCCCAGCTCTTTTTGGACTGGATTAAGGGTATGGATAGTTTCTTTAAGTGGTACAATATCTTTGAGGCTAGAAAGTCTGATTTTTTGAAATGAAACTCAGTGATATGGCTAGTCAATTTTGGTCAAACCTAGAGAGCCTTAGAGAATCCCGAAACGAATATCCTATCACTGATTGGCCATCGATGAAGCACGAGCTCAAGCAGAAGTACTTACCTCCCTCGTACTTTCCCAGCTCTTAGATAGGTGAAATAGGTTGACTCAGGGCAACAAACCAATCAATGATTACATAGAAGCTTTTGATGATTATCTGATTCGCTGTAAGAGGGAGACCTCTACCACCCTCGCACAAATCCTGCCCATGTTTCGTATTGGGTTGCGTGAGGATCTACGCAACGAACTGTTTGCCCGGAACATTATTACTCTATAAAATGTTTGAACCTAGTGTTAGATCTCGAGGAAACCCATCCCCAACACCCTAGTTAGCACCAAGACTCTAGGCCTTCCTACAGACCTTCCGGTAGTTCCACTACACGGCTGACCCTAGGAAACCCTGCCGGTCCACCTTCTGGTCCTCCCACACCCCGTCCCAACTTTGGAAACAACTCTCCCACTCGGGAACTAAGTGCTTTCAATGCCAGGGGTATGGGCACATCGCCTCTTAGTGTTCAAGCCTCTACAAAGTCATTATCATTGAGGAAATCACTGAGAAAGAACCTGAACTCGAGGCCGATCAGATTCACCAGGTGAAAGACGATGGTGAATTCATTGAGGATGACGACACTGCTGTCATCCACTGCATACGGAAAATAGATACCTCTCACATCTGCGTGGTGAGATGCGCACTGTCACAAGCTGTTGCCACTGATGACTGGCATAGGACTGCAATCTTTCACACATACACCAAAATAAAGGATAAGAACTGTAAAGTCTTAGTGGATAGTGGCAGTTGTATCAATGTTGTCTCCTCCAGCATGGTGTCTAAACTTGGTATGTTTGTTGTCCCTCACCCCAACCCATATAAGATAACTTGGGTTAACTCCACTGTGTTAGAGGTGAAAGAACGAAGCCTCATACCTATCTCCTTCGTTGACTCTAAGAAGAATGTTTGGTGTGATGTGATGCTTACGAATGTTGGAAAAATCCTTCTAGGTCGTCCCCAGAATATTTGACAATGATGTCCACATCTATGGGCATTCAAACACCAACGTGTTTGAACATACTGGTAAAAAGATCAAGCTTCTGCCATCATAGCCCCGGGTTAATGATGATCCTAAACCCAACCCTGTCAAATCTAAGAAGGGACTCAACCTGGTAATCTCCAATGTTCTGGACTTTGAGATAGCCCAAGGCGGACCCCGTATGCCTTGGTTGGCCGTGAAATTCTCATTGAGTCTGATAAACCAATCCTTCAGGAGGTCTAATCCATACTAAGTAAGTTTACTGATATCTTCCCTAATGATCTTTTTGATCAGTTACCTCCGCTTAGAGACATCCAACATGTTATAGATCTTGTCCCTGGAGCCTTCCTACCTAATTTGCCCCACTATCGCATGAATTCCACAAAATATGTTGAGCTTAAGAAACAAGTAGATGAGTTACTGCAGCGAGGCTTTATCAAGGAAAGTCTTAGCCCTTGCGTCATCCCAACCCTTCTTATACCAAAGAAGGATGGTTCCTGGAGAATATGTGTTGATAGCAGTATTATCAACAGTATCACCGTCAAATATCGTTTTCCTATCCCAAGGTTAGACGATATGCTTGCTATGATGACGGGAGCCACTCTATTCTCCAAGATTGACCTTAAGAGTGGGTACCATCAGATCCGGATCTGACCCGGTGATGAGTGAAAAATTTCCTTTAAGACCAAGGATAGTCTTTATAAGTGGACGGTCATGCCATTCGGGTTGAGTAACGCCCCGAACACTTTCATAAGGATCATGACCCAGCTGCTGCGCCATTTGATGAGAAAGTTTGTCGTTGTCTACTTTGACGACATCCTTATCTATATTCAATCTGTAAGTCAACACTTAAACCACTTAAGGCAAGTCTGTGAAGTCTTAATGAAGGAGCAACTTTATGCAAATCCTAAGAAGTGCACCTTCCTTGTTGAACGTGTTATCTTTTTGTGCTTTATTATTTCAGTTCAAGGGGTCTCTGCAGACTCCGAGAAGGTGAAATCCATTGTAGAATGGCCTGTTCCTCAAAACATTCGAGAAGTCCGCAGTTTCCACGGTTTAACCACCTTTTATAGAAGATTCATTAGAAATTTTAGCACAATTGTATCTCCTATCACTGACTGTCTCAAGAAAGGTGATTTTCACTGGACCCGGGCTGCCACCAAAGCCTTCGAAGATATTAAGAAAAGAATGGTGGAAGCCCCAAGTGAAGAGACTTCCTAACTTCACCAAAGTCTTCGAAGTTACCTGTGTCGCTTCGGGGGTCAGAATTGGAAGAATCCTGTCCCAGGAAGGTCACCCTATTACTCCATATATGATAAAGAGTTTTATGCGGTGATCCAATCTCTTCATTATTTGCGACACTACTTGCTCCCACAAGAGTTCATTATCTTTCAAATCATGAAGCTCTACGTTATATCAACTCCTAAAAGAAGTTGAACGCATGTTACGGTCGATGGGTAGAATTCCTTCAAGAATACACTTATACCCTTAGACACAAGGCGAGAGTTGAAAATAAAGCTGCCGATGCTCTCAGTCGTTGTATGATGGCCACCACTGAAATTAGAGCCGAAGTCATAGGATTTGAGCAAATAAAAAAGGACTATTTAGAATGCCTCGACCTCAAGGAGACTTACTCTCTTCTGGCTACAGGCAGCACAAGCCTTGTGGATGATTTTCTCCAAGAATATGGATATCTTTTCAAAGCTTAGAAGCTTTGTATCCCTAGCACGTCCCTTAGAAAATTTCTTGTTTAGGAACTCCACGCCAGAGGCCTCGCTGGGCACTTTGGTTGTGACAAGACAATAGAAGCCGTAGAGTACTATTTCTTTTGGCCCAGTTTGAAGAGGGATGTTGGTAAAATGGTTAGCAGGTGCCACACTTGCCAATTGGCCAAGCAACGCAAACAAACACCGCCCTCTACACCCCTCCACCTATTCCCAATTGTTCGCGGCAAGATGTCAGCATGGACTTCGTCCTAGGCTTGCCCAAAACTTTTCGTAGGAATGACGCCATCTGTGTTGTAGTTGATCATTTTTCCAAAATGACCCATTTCCTACCCTGCTTCAAGACATCTGACGCCTCCCATATTGCTAAAATGTACTTCAATGAGGTCGTCAAATTACATGGATTACCCAAATCATTGTATCTGACAGGGAGGTCAAGTTCATCAGTTACTTTTGAAAAACTCTCTGGATGAAATGGGCACTAAATTGCAATTCTCCATAGCCTTTCATCCTCAAACTGATGGTCAAACCGAAGTGGTCAATAGGAGTTTAGATAATTTGTTAAGGTCCCCGGTAGGTGAACACATTAAAGATTGGGATTCCAAACTCCCCACAGCCGAGTTTGCCTATAATAATTCTGTGAACCACTTGCTTAAGTCATACTGAAATTGTTTATGAGTTCAAACCCAGACATACTCTAGATCTCATACCCATGTTTTCTAGATATAGGATTTCTGAGTTTGCATCCTCATTTGCATTGCATTTACATGAATTGCATAAGAAAATTGCAAACCAAATTGAACATAGCAAAATTAACTATACATGTTGATTTAAAATGAAGATTTAAAACTTTTGAAGTTGATGATTCAGTGATGGTACAAATTCGTCCGAAACGGTTCCCACAAAGAACTGTTAAGAAGTTATATGCTAAAAGTGTTAGACCTTTCAAAATAATTAAGAAAATCAATGACAATGCTTACATGGTAGATCTGCCTGTAGAATTCAACATTAATCCCTCCTTTAACATAGAAGATTTAGTAGCTTATGAGGGTCAAGAGTTCAACCCACCAAATCCATTGCAAAATGAGCCTTGTGTGACCCATCCTATGAGAACCCAAGCCTACCTCCACTCTCAAATATTCCCAAAATATCTATAGCGGACAAGGTTGACATGATTCTAAGTGATGACATTATTTCCACAAAAGATGGTGGACGAAGAAGGTATCTGATAAGGTGGAGAGGCAAACCAGAGTCTGAGGATACATGGCTAGAACGTGATGAGCTTTAGCGGATCGACCCATATACACTAGAATTCTACGAAAGAACCTAGGACGCATACTCGACAGAGTCGAGCTCTTTCCCACCCCAGGAGAATGATGAGGACATAAGGCAGGGCCGACGATCTACGGCTACGATCACACCGATCTACTTTTGATTATTATTGTATTAGTTTTATTATTGAATTATGTTTTATGAGTTTATTGTATTTTTTTTGTTTAGGCCCTCGCTTAAGGGCCTAGTCCTATGTATGTCTTAAGGGCAATTGAGTCTTTTGTATTTTCTTTGTTTTGGGCTATTTAAAGCCTTCATTTCCTTCTTTGAGGGCTAATGAATATTTATGATAAAAAATTATGCATCCATGTGTTTGGAGAGAGTATAAGAGTTCTTGGAGATATTGAAGTCCCTAGGTGAGGGCTTCGTAATACCCACCAATCGTCCCCCCCCCCCTTTGTTATCCGCCGGCCACCCATAACCCCACCAACTCTCCCGGCCAAACCCCACCTCTACTACAACCCAACTGGCCACCCTTCTCCCAACCCTAACCGCCGGCCCATATCAAAAGCCTAACCTAGCATAGCTGCAATCCATAGCTCTTCCCCCTTGCCTCCAAAATTCAAAACATCCCATTACTACTTTCCTTTCTCCACCCAACCTCATTTGGAAAGCTTTGATTATAATTATCCAATCAATTTTAAATTTTGGAATTTTTTCTAAAATAGAATTCTGTTTTAAGAAAGTTCCAAAAATCAATACTATTTGAATTTTAAATTAGATTGGAATTAAATTAATCCTTCCTAATTTAATATTATAAATCAAGTAAACCTTAATTTCTTTCCCACAAGCCCTCTTCCCCCCCTCTTGAAGTCGCCAGTCCCCTCTCCCAATCTCTCTCTCCCCCACATTAACTCTCTTCCTTCTCAACACCTAAATGAAGTCTCTCAGTTATGAATAATTTTTCTTTCCCTCCTTGCTTGGAATTCAAATTTCAAACTCTAGTCCCCCTTCTATTCAAATTTGAAATTCAATTTCAGATTTTTGGAAAAGGCTTTTCCCTCCTATAGAGGAAAGGAAGTATTTAGAGGCATTGGTGGGTTCAATATGGTGTTGCATGACCAATAATGATGTTATATGGCATGGATTATGGAGTCGTAGGCTCCTACGTATGTGGACATCATAAAGGTCCCTTGTTTTGACATGCTAACTTAGTATGGGTCACATGAAACATAAGATGATAGAGGGAGATTTTAGGACAAGTAGTGAGAAATGGGCTATCAATTATTAGTGGACACTAGCGAGGAACAACTATAGTAGCAAGGAGACATTAGGGATATGAGGGATCACTGCACTGATACACATGTGCTGTCTCTAGCGTGGTTAAAATAGTTGTTGTATGTTAGGGAATGCATGCTCTTTTTATTAATTTAATGTTTAATTAATTGATAATTAATTATGATATTAATATATAAACTTTTAAAAAATTAATTATAATTTATAATCCACTTCTGATCCATAAGATGAAGGGTAAGAACTCCAAGCACGACACTAATTAACCTCGTTGTATAGTGGCGAGAACATGGGAATTTGTATAAGAGCCTATTACATATAAAAGTTCCATTGACGAGAAGCAAAGATCACATAAAGAAGCATATGAAGGCCAACATTTATGTGGCTCTTTATAACCTAAATACATGATATAATGAGAGAGAGATATTGCTCACCTCTGATGCACCGACACTTCGTTTTAAGAGGGTATGCAGTGTCTAACACGTGTCGGATACGGACACGCGTCCGACATGACGAGGAAACGTGTCGGACACGTCATTACTGTGTCCCATTTAAAAAAAAAATTAAACCGGACACGCGTGGCCGACTATTGTATAATTAAATAAATAAATAAATAAACCATAATCCCGCTATTTCATATTAGCTGTTTCACGTCCGAGTCTTCATCTTCGCCTTAATCCCGTATTCCTATTCGTATTCATGGTCTTCTCGAGTGATTAAGGCAAGCAGCGGATGGCTGGAGATCGCACCCTTGGTCTTCCCTTTCGGCCGTAAGCAACAGGCCATCCTCCTTAGTTTCTGCACACAGCTAAGGGAAACCGATGCCAAACCGCAGTCACTCTTACAAACCTATAAGTTGATTTCGCCGTTTTTTTTCTCCATTCGACATTTCTCTTCATTTATCAACGATTTTGTAGATTTGTGATCATAAGAGCATATTTTTTTAAAGTATTTTATTTGTTTTGGATTAAATTTACCCTAAACCCTAAATTTTATTGCGCTTTTGCTGCGCATTAACTATGCTTTTGATGCGCTTTCACTGTACTTTTACTGCGCTTTCACTCTTACAATAAAAGTGCAACAAAAGCGCACGCGTGTCGGCCCCCTGCCAGGGGCCAGCGCCCCCTTGGACCCCTGGCATAGATGCAAATTTTTAATTGTTTTACAATATGCCACCCAATTTATTAAGCCTTTATTTCTTCTACTTCACCAGTGAATTTAAAAGCAAAATGAGCTCTAGTGCTGGTGGGAGTGGTTCAAAAGAGCCATCTGTAGAAATTGATAAGCCATTATGGGTTCATGTTACAAAGTTAGGAAAAACTTTTTAAGGAGGGAATGTGTCATTCAAATGCAATTATTGCGGTGGCACCCGTGTCCTATATTATTATGGTGGCACCTTAATTTCTATATATTATATTAAAAATTTATTATGTCGTGTCCAAGTCGCACCCGTGTCCTATATTTTTAAAAAATGTCGTGTCCCGTGTCCGTGTCGTGTCCGTGTCCGTGCATCATAGTTGCTCACTATAGAGAATGAGAAATGTACAGGGTATAAAGAAGATTTATTTTTCTTATTGGTTAGCTCCAACAAGAAAATAAAGAGTAGGAAAGAGAGAGAAGACATAAGAATCACCTCCTTTATTATAAAAGGATTTCAAGTCTCAAAATGTTGCTTCATGCTCATTCTCGCTTTTTTCCGATATTATAGAGGAAAGGAAGTATTTACATGCATTGGTGGGTCCAATATGGTGTTGCATAACCAATAATGATGTTATATGGCAAGGATTGTGGGGTTGTAGGCTCCTATATATGTGGACATCATGAATGCCCCTTGTTCCGACATGCTAATGTAGTATAGGTCACATGACACATTAGATGCTAGAGAGAGATTTTATGATAAGTATTGAGCAAAGGGCTATTAATTATTAGTGG